GGTGCTTCTGAATCTTCGAAGATCTTGAAATCAAGATATATGGAGTCCAACAAAATGTGATGGTTGGGGATGGGACCCACACTCAAGAAGATTCAAAGCCAGTTGTAGCAATTGCATCAATTGCAAGATCTCACTATCGGACTTCTGAAGTGCACGGACATGTCCTGAGCATGGGCCCCGGAGTTCAATACAAGCAAGCAGTCAGCAGGATCATTTGCGAGCATGCTCATTTCAGCGTGATGTCATTATTTTCTCCTGTGCCGCGATCACACGTTTATTTCATGTCGTTTTTATTTGTAACCTGGAAGTTCTGACTTCTTCACTTGGCGTCGTAGTGTTGGAAATTAAACCACCCAGTAGCAACCGTAAGCACCAATCAAACCAACCGAGGACTAGGCATCCTGAGCAAATTTTTGGCCATGTCCAGGTTGTCAGGCTTGAGCAGCTAAAGGTGCTAAAGTCACCACTCACTGCATGCAAGCAGCTGCAAAAACGTCAAGCAATTGGAAACATGGATTTGGGTTTTGACTTTGCATTTTTGACAGGCCCAAGGTCTAAATAGGTGTCAAGGAATCACATGCTTTATTATAAGTGGCTGCTTTCATGTTGGAACCCAAAAAAGATTACACTGGGTACCGGTCGAACCAGAACAAATATTACTAATATAATATTAATGGCAAGCTGCTCCGTCTCCGACCCGCTGCTCTAGGTGATCAAGTAGTGGCTGGCCAGCACCTCCATGCATGGTTTGCCCAGAGCTGAGTATGATGCAATTGAAATGGCAACTTTCAAGCTGAAGTTGATATAAAGTGGTGTGATTTTTTTGTGCAGTGCGCTCATACCCAGCCAGCATTATACGATTCTTTTTATCCTCCTCTAAGATCGTATTGGATTGAGGCTTTCCCCAATCAGCATTCAGGCTGCAAGCCATCAGAATATATATATATATATATTGTTTCTCACTTGAAATGCACACATGCAGCATGTACGGAGTCTGCAGCATGCAGCCATGAATGCACATGTTCTTTTGCCAAAACACATGCACGGACTTGCTAAAGCCAAGTGCACACCTACATACGCTGCATGCTGATACAACCAGCTCTAAATCGCAAATCGTTTGGAAACGTTTTCTGTGCAATGATTGTTTGAGAAATGTAGGAGTTTTGACATCATAAATGTCAGCCATGTTGTGCAGCAGACCTTTCCATCTTGATGTGGAAAAAAATATATATAGATCTTGGCAGCATGCCCAGATCTCTCAAAATCCCCTGATGTGTCAACGATGCCACAGCTGCTTCATGCAGCATCCACATCCCCGCTCAGAATGCCCACTCAGAATCGCTCAGGCCGATCACTTTTCATTCTTTGGCTTCAACTCGGATGCAGGCCAGGGGTTTTCGAAACTTTGTGAATTTATGAATCGATTCATGTACAGGTTTTGGAGTTTTTCTGATGCATAAAGCATTCCTCAAAACATCATATAGTCAGATCAAGTCACAATATTCTTCTTCGCTGTCTGGGCAGCATTCTTGTGCTTCTCGATGCAGCTCTTGACCTTTTCCAGGCACTCACGCACCTGCAGCAATGATTGATCCGGGGGCTCAGCAGTTGTTGGTGGCTCCTGTTCTGAAATGTTGACTTTTGAAACAGCATTCCAACCCAAAGTCACAATTCCAATTTTGCTGATGGTTTGTGATTCTGATGTTTTTTTGGGGCTGAGTCAGACCTCTCAAATCTGGACTTGGGGCATTTGATGGGGCGACCATTCGGAATGGTGTTAGATGTTTGTCAAAAAAACAAATTAAACATCGAGAATCATTGTGGTAGTGATGTTGTGCCTCCTCCTCCGAGGTTGCATTTTCAAGCGTTTCACGGTGCCCTTTAAGAGCCGTCGACGCTTCTTCCAGGTCTTGCATCAGGGCTGTCAGGAAGTGGTGGTTCCTGGGATGCTGGTTCAAAGTTTTTTCATTACCAGTGAACCACGACTCGGTACATGTACTTGTGTTATTCCATGTGAGACCGTCCAAAAATAAGAGTTCTATTTGATGTCATTTGGGCTACCATCAACACATGTTGGAGCTACAAATGAGAGTTCCATCATTCTGCAAAGGGTAATGATTGAGAATCTGACACACCACTCTCTTTGAGCTTTTTTTCGATGTCCGGCTTCTCCCCAACACAGCTGGCGATGCTGGTGATTGCCTGAATGCAGGTGGTTGCTGGAAGTGCACCAAGCTGCAGAAGGCTTGCACTGAATGGTTGGGACAAAGCATGCAATAAATGGACACATTTTTTTGGTCATGAGTTACGGCAACCCATGAGTCGAAATGAGGAACATATCCGGCCTGCTTTTTGTTCTTCAGCAGCTCTCTCTGTGCTTCCGCTGCAGGGTCTTCCTCCTCATCACCAAAAACCGATTCAGGCTGTGCAGCAGTCAGGAAATGTCATGGTGGGATTTTGTTTGAACTGAAAAGGTTTTGGGATTCCAAAATCATTTTAAAATAATCATCGTAACTTGGTTTTCGGGATTGCAAATCGTTTGGCTCACTGACCGGACTTTGGACAGAAATCTTCAAGGATATCCAGCCTTCTGTCTCTTCTGCCCTCGTGTGGACACTCTGGCCTTTGGCTTTCCCTTTGGCTTTGGCCTTCTTCCCGTGGCCCCTGATGCTGTCGAGGTTACATCTCGCCTCACAATTGCAGTATGGAGCGAGGCGGAGGCAGGGGACTGCCCTGGATTGTTTGAGAGAGACCATATGATCTCAGTTGGATAAGACAATTGGATATCAGTTAGCTATTCCAATATAGTATGGATCCTGGTTATCATGGAATATGGACAGGCAAGGGAAGATCTTGGATAGAGACTTTCGAAACTCTGCTTGGATAATTTAATGGAACTGGAATAGGTGTATCAACTCAAGCGTTTTGTGTGCATTAACTGCAGCTTTCCTCCTAAGCTTAAAGTTTTGGTTCGTCGTTGGCTCTAGATCTCAAGCCATGGTCCGGCACAGCACCATCTTGGAGAAGTATGTGCACACTTGGAAGGGAGCGGCATCCGGATTCAAGCCCCTTGTATTTTATTTTTCCCTTATTGTCCAACGTTTTCATGTCTCTTCTGTATCGCATCCTATATAATATGGACATGAATCCAGATTAGGGTTTGCACGGGGCCCACAAAAATGGCATGTTTCAGGGGACATCATCCAATTTTGGGAGACACCTGCTGTAGGCTGAAATCCCTTGATTGGGACAAGGACCGCAACACCATCACTGAATGCTGGGAAAGAGTGCTGGATGAGGAGCATGACCAGAAGGACAAAAAAAAGCCAGGAAAGAACCAGACAATTCCGAAGAAGCCCATGAAGGGCCCGGGTGTGTCAAAAGACTCTGTGAAACCGACGCCGATGAAGTCGAAGCCAGCCAAAAAGGCCACCACGTGACAGAAAGCTTGAGGGTGAAAAAGTCCGACAATGAAGCCGATATTCCTTTTATCATTTTATGATAATATATATATATGTATCAAAAGGCTAAAAAGTGTTTATATCTTGTGCATTGCATGGGTCCATCCCTCCATTGATCCACCTGGCCAAAAGTACTAGCCAAGTAACATATCATCATCACAATCCTCGTCCGACAAAGTCTCTTTGTCCGCCTTTGTGTGCATGGTCTTGGTCTCACGTTCATCCTCAGATTCACTGACTTCCTCCTCCTCCTTGTAGACTTTGACTTGTCTCATTTCCTGTGTTCGCAGGATGCAAATCACCACAATCATTTTGGTATATATAAAAGTTTCTTGATGATTTGTTCAACAACTAATCCCGCCTTGTTGCCGGGAAACTCTGGGTGATCTCGGACCATTTTACCTTTGACCTTTTCCGAGAACAGCGCTGCTGCAAGGCCTGGTGGATCGGATTCGCGCTCGAACCTGGCTGCATGAGAGACCCAGGCTGGACATCAAAGACGAATTGGTGGTATCCCACTTTGTCACCTGTCAAAAAATGATCCTGGCCATTAAGATTATGCACTGTTGTAGCGTTTCAATGAAACATCTATAGGTTAGGAATGGCACCTCTTCTCCAAGTCCTTGAGTGTCATCCAAGCCCGCTTCAGGCTTCTCTTCTTGCGAGTGCGGTGGCACAGGGAGTCCATGGTGCGGCTTTCGTCCCATTTTCCTGCAACATCAATGAGGAGGATTTGTTTGTCCCATAACATGGATGTGAGTTTTGTTGTCCGGACATCTGCAACTCAAACATGCAAATAATAAGCAGCTGCACAGTTATTTTCACACATGGGGATTTCGAGGGGATTTCGTCTCACAGGCTTGGAACGGTTGGGTTAGGCACATCACAGTGGATGAGCACCCTGAGATGTAAAAACTGGCTCACATTGGCAGTAGCAAGGTTACAAGGCATGATTAAAGTCAAATTCTGGCGGACTCCAATGGTGACGCCAGTAAATGTGCAAGTTCCTCTGGAGTTGCACTATTGTTCGAAGGCGATGAACCTTGGCTGCTGCAATGATACGCCGAACTGGAGCGGCGAGGTCCAACATTGGTGGAGTGATGCCAGGTAAATTCATAGCGGTCAAAACGTCTTCGAGTTCCTGCAGTTCGAACATAACCTCATACAGGTTCTGAATCACACGGTCGATGTGTAACAAGGGAGCAAGGTATGCTTGCATGGATGCCATGGGTTCGACAGGAACGAGGGCCATTGGAAAGTTGCCCAAATCGTTTGATTGCCACACCTGGTTTTGAGCCCAAAACTATGAATCAAAAGATGTTCCATTGATGAGTTGCAATGATTACACAATCATGGAATAAATATCAGGAATGCTTCAGCTGTCAACAGTCCTTTGCATGCAAAGAAATCCTCCAGAAGGTCGCTGTACTCGCCCGACTTTTTTCCTGGGAGAGAAATATTTCCATGAAACAATTTTATTTGCTGTTCAGGAAATTTGGCAAGTGCTTCATGGGCTGAACATCTAAAGTATATACATAATCATATTATATACAATACAATATATATATGTATTATATATATACATATACACATATATACATATATATATATATGTCTATATATATATATATACATATATACATATGTATTTATATACATATATGTCTCATGGAATAGCATCATTCCCTCACCATCCCCACCTGCTCTGATTTCGCGAGCCAGGGCTTTGATTTCAGCCGGTGTGGTCTTGCCTGGGAGCTTCTCTTGATGAGGCCAACTTGAACCCATCTGGAAAATGCAGCAAAGCACGCTCTTAAATTATTGTTGTCATTTAATTTTCTGTTGGGTCAGCATTACTGAGTATCAGACTTTTCAAAGACCGCTGAAACTGGTTGAGATGACGGTGCCGAAGCTTCTTGACATGCTCGGAAAGCTCCGGCAGCTCATCATCGTTCTTTTCGGGGTCAGTTTCAACCTGGTGCTGCAAATCAGCCGTTGCTGCTCTGTTGAGTGCTGCCAGTGCCTTGGCGTTCAATGTACTTTTGGCCATGGCCTGACCAGGATGTTCACCTTCAGCTGCTGGTGCAGGCTCAGTCTTCACCGAGCTTGAGGGGGCACTGTCGGATGGGGACTGACTCCTGTCATCTCCTGCATCTCTTGCTTCTGACTCCTTGACAGAGACTGCATCGTCCTCACCTATCTTTTCCTTCTTGGCCTTCTTCTCCTTCTTATCTTTCTTATCTTTCTTATCTTTCTTGTCTTTCTTGTCTTTCTTTTCCTTTTTTTCTTTCATTTCCACAGGGGTGGATGCATTGCTTTCCGGTTCTGCATTCTCTGCCTCTCAAACAGATCTAGATGCAATGTGAAGGTCATCACCATAGTAGTTGTGCACATTCATTCCGAGACAGTTGAAACCAGCCTGTGTCTCTGCAACGTCAGCAGTGCCTCAACAGATCGCATACTGTATAATTTGACTGTTCAATCAATAGTCCATTCAGAAGGTTAACCGAGGGCCAAACATGTTGCATCTTTGGGTGCAGATGCCATCACCGTGGAGTAAGTCCAGGCCTACGTATCATGCAATTGCAAGTTTCCAAGTTGTAGAAACAATGAAGTTCCCAAACCCAGATCTTGAATCTAGGAATCCAGCCAATCCTCGGCTTGGTCAAGTTTGACACTATAGGTTTGAGGCTGCAATGCCAGCTGGGGACATTGACTCATCAAGACCACTTCATTGTTTTGCCCAAATCTGGAGTTTTCATCAACTTTTGGTCAAAATCCACTACTTCCAGAAGGGGGTGGCATTTCCCGGTCATTGGCGGCATTTCCCGATCATTGGCCGGCATTTCCCGGTCAACCCCCCGGCATTTCCCGATCATTGGCCGGCATTTCCCGGTCATTGGTTTTTGCCATTTTGGCCGTTTTCACCAATTCTTGATTTTTCATCAAATTTTGTTCAAAATCCACTACTTCCAGAAGGGGGTGGCATTTCCCGGTCATTGGCGGCATTTCCCGATCATTGGCCGGCATTTCCCGGTCAACCCCCCGGCATTTCCCGATCATTGGCCGGCATTTCCCGGTCATTGGTTTTTGCCATTTTGGCCGTTTTCACCAATTCTTGATTTTTCATCAAATTTTGTTCAAAATCCACTACTTCCAGAAGGGGGTGGCATTTCCCGGTCATTGGCGGCATTTCCCGATCATTGGCCGGCATTTCCCGGTCAACCCCCCGGCATTTCCCGATCATTGGCCGGCATTTCCCGGTCATTGGTTTTTTGCCATTTTGGCCGTTTTCCCCAATTTCTGCAAATGATGCTTCAGGCTGCAAGTGCGGCTCGCAGGGTCACCTAATGACAGATTTTGTTGCTGTCATCCAAAGAAAAGTATGCAGTGAACCACTGACATCCACACTGATTGAATTTTCCTAAGCAGTGGAGGCAATTGCACGGAAATGGATTGAACTGTTCATCAAAATCCATGATCAGAGAAATTAAATCTTCGATTGTGAATCAAGAACTGTGTCTCCGCTTTTGTTTGTTTCAGCTTGCCCCATGCTATGCTCTGAGGTGGCTTCGGGCTTTCAGCCTTTGCATTTCAAAAGCCACCAACTCAGAGATTATGGCAAAAATTCTGGCTGAAACGGAAACGTTGGCTTGAACGTACCCTCATCTATTCGTTCCTGGAGAAACATCTCCAGATCTCCTAGATCTGAATATTTCCACTCAGCAGGGTGATCCTGGCACAGATTCATTGGTTTTAGTGCATGCACACGAACCACAGTTTGAAAATATATGAAATAAACAATCCATGACTAGATCAAATGTGACAGACTGCAGTTAGCCAGCCTTTTGGATCTGGGAGAAATCCATCTTCTTGCCACGTGGCATATCCTTACTCAAAGCTTGGCAACAAACATACATCATTGGAGTGCAGCAGAAAAACAAGATTCATGGTTCCTGAACTGGGGCTATGACACGTTTGACTTTCAAGTGCTCCGAAATCACACGGGTTGCAAATGTCTTTGGGTATGCACCCGTAGCCTTGAGGTGCTTTCCTCCTGACCTGGGAAGCCGGGAAGCCTAGTTAAACCTGGCAAACTAAATTGTCGGTCGACCGTGAACAACTCAGTTGCAAACACTTTCCCATTGTGGCGACTGCGTTTCACGATCTCGATCTTGTTCTTGTTTTGAAAGTCCTGATGTACCAAACATACATAAACCCTGAAGGAACCATTTTGAAAGTGTGTGAACTTTCCATGTTGAAAGAAATCAATCATTTCAAATGCACCTTTCCTTGATCTCTGACCGGCGTTTTTGCGTGAGCTTGTTCTGGAACTTTTCAATTGCAGGCCTGGATCGCTCTCAAACTGTTTTGGTGTTGTTGATGTTTTTTGACACTGGGGCCCCGACCAAGATCCAAAAATCATCGTTCTTTTTGGTGATGTTGCTCCAGGAAACGCTCCCATCCAACTGGGCACAGGACACAATTATAGGACAATCAACATGCAAATTTTACATGAACAACACCAACATACACAGCTGAGGGCATGACAACCTTTGGAAGCTGGTGGGAATCAATTTGTCCATGAGCAGCTCTGCAAAGAAGGGCATCTTTGGCAAACGTGAAGACCCAGGCTGTTCCACAGCCCACCATATTTGCCGTGCTACACACAAGAGTATGAGCAGTGCAGCCCTGCCCAAGTGTATGTTGGACTTTCTGACACTGTCCAGGGAGATGTCTCCAAACATATCAAACAACGTGCCACGCTTCGATGTTCCAAGCGACACCCAAATCAAGAGTGAACATGGGATCCCAAACCAACATAGGGACCCCGGTCGTAGCCGGAGAACCCCCTTGATTGCCGCTAATATGCCTGGCCTCAGGACACCAACACAATAGTTGAAAAGCCATAAAATGGCAAGCTGTATCTTTTGCATAAAACAAAATCACATACAGGGAATTTTGATCTTGGTTAAACTTTTTACACATACTTCGTCTGAGTTGAGGGCACTGACTCCACGTCATTGTGGTCAGGGCGATGGACGATGTCGTAATAATCACTGGCAAAGGCAAATCACATGACCCGGGGTCTCTGACCACAATTTACAAAAGTGCAGTGAAAATCAACTGATGCAGAAGCACACCTCATCAGCCCCCGCCGGCCTCAATGCCACATGTTTTTTTTTGTGTAAGAAAGCCGACTCTTGTTTGAACGGTTTCCATTTTTCGACATTGTTTCCCTGAGATTTCGACATGCTGCCTGGTATATTTTGCTCGTGCCGCTGTACATTTCGTAGATCTCCATGTTCTTAGAAAGGGACACTCTTTAAACGCCTCCATTCAGTTGAGAACTGCGCTGAGACCCAGACACGGGTTGAAGCGGATGCATATGCAGGGGTGTTCTGCACAATGAAATCGATGGCATGTAACCTGAGGCTGAACTTCATGCAGACAAACCTGCTGGTACTGCAAGGCTTGGTTTGAGTATGTCTGGGTTTCGGGCAAAACGAGTGGAGCGCCCATTGCAATCAAACATGCTGCTTGGCCACGTGTGAGTCCAAGCGGGTGATGTTTCTCAACCCCCATTCCCACTGGATTCGATCGCGAAAACCCACTAAGATCCCTTGAAGCCAGATTTGCTCAGAATTAACGGAGTAAGAAATAATACTCAATGAACAACTCTGTCTCATCAAATGGCTGAGTTTGACTTGTTGCAAGACTGGTTCTCCTTTTTTGTTTCCCCAGATCTGCCAAAGTCGACTGTCAAAATTCATGGCGTTGGCAATTATGCCATCACACTCCAGTGCTGCCTGTTGCTAATTCTGCTGCCGTCCATCCTGCCAGGTGCTGTGCCAAGGCCCACCTTGGCGAATCACAGAGGCTAGCTTCACCATTTTTGGGGGGAGGGCTGCACAATCAAAACTTTTTGCTGAGCCACCCTTCAGCAATGCCATATTTGCACATTTTCAAATTACAGCCACCCCCTTTGTCCAGCTGGATTTCCTGGTCGGTCTTGTTGTGCACCTTCTTGACATAGAACCCGGCAGCATGCCTTTGCAAGGCACAGCACAAAACTATATATTATGTCATTTATTCAAGAAACGAATGTTAGAATGCTCTGAGATACGGCCAGAACTTGATCTCAATGCTTTTGCAGTTGGAACTTTGTAGGTGAGGTGGTGCAGGCACTGTAAAACTCTTCTTGTTCTTTTCCAGCAGACCGCTTGGCACAGTGATGGTGCCCAGGCCCTTCAATTTCTCCAGCACCTGGCAATCGAATTTATTGATCAAGCAGGACTGAATGTGTCAAATGCATTTGAAATGACAAACCGTAACAAACTTGATTCCTGGGTTCTGCACGTCTGGTGCAGTGGTTGTTGCTGACTGGAAAAACGCTTCTATGTCAGCACTTGCATAACTGACAGCTTGTGATCTCTTCAATTTCTTGGCCGGTGGAGGGACGACCTCGGTCTGTTCCGGGTGGTTTTCCTGTTCAGGGTCCATGTCAGCAGCCTTAACTGCCACTGTGGGCTCACTGTTCTGTTGCTCTGCTGCCTTCTTCTGTTTCTTTTTCTCCTTTTTTTCCTGTTTCGCCTGGATTTCCTTTGCTTGAAGGTCTCGGTGTAGCTCTCTGACTCGTGCTTGAGCCTGCAATTGCACAAAGATTCAACATGACATGGACTCTTTGTTATGACAGATCCCTGCCTGCAGGATGTCCTGTTCACCATCCGTCTTCCCGGCATAGATTTGCAATGCCGCTGTGGCTGCAGCAGCCGATTCCTCCGTTGTGAGCATCGCGGGTTTGTCTTCCAGGGGCTTGTGGTCCTGCCACAGAACACGATTTGACACTTTGGGGATGGTGTCCTGATGCAAGATTGAATAGGTTTAAATATTTCTATGATATGGTCTAAAAACAGAAACAAGTGGCATTTCTACGTCGACCCCTGGCATTTCTACGTCAACCCCTGGCATTTCTACGTCAACCCCTGGCATTTCTACGTCGAACCCCTGGCATTTCTACGTCGAGCCTACCTTGTCCCACAAGGTATAGTTTAAACATACTGACATTGATGAGAAAAACACTAAAGGAGGTCCTGGAAAGTTGACTTCACAGTCTTTTTGGTTGCCGCTGGAGATGCAACTTCATTCGCCAGGCCACCAGGCGGGATCACATCCTGCACGGGAACTCAGTATATATGTTGGAACGGCTTTCATGTTGGAACGGCCTCATCGATCTCGATCGGCAATGTCTCCATCTCATCTGGGTTGGTGGCAATGGCCGGCGCTGGCTTCACAGGAGCCTCGATTCAGAATGTTTGATTCTGCACAAGGTTGCAAGCAAAGAATGTTAACAAAAGTTCCTTTTCATGAGCCAATGACTAGTGTGTCATCCATGTGATGTGGCCATGTTTTTAAATTTCTGCCCTTAGGATCTTGTAGGTATTCTGTTTTGACCACGCCTCCATGGGTTTTCCACTTCCCTCTGGGGCAACCTCGAGCTCCTGGAGAATCGAACGAAATACACAGAACATACATGTGGACTT